GCCCCTCCCCTGTCACGGCAGAGAGCCGTGACAGGATCGAGAAGTGAGCGAACACCGGCACGTGTTCGCTCACCTCCCGATCTACTGATCCGACCTGTGACAGTCTCATTGTCACAGGTCGGCTAGAACTATGAGGTGAGTGAAAAGCACTCACCTCATAGTTCTCCTTTAATACCTAGATCTGAAAGTAGAAGTCTAGGAAATGGCCTGGTGGGCAGGATTCGGCCCCTGGGCCTTGAGTTTGACACACGTGCCTTATACCGTACCTCAGCAATCCCTGGGTCTCTGTGATTATTTAAGCAATGCAGGTATATCATGGCCAGGGGGAGGAGCTGGCAGGGTGCTGTACATAGCTTCCTGAAAACATCACAGCTCCCTGCCTCAGTATTCCTCTTGAGAGCTCTCAGCCCTGATGTAAGCAGTGGGCTGGCTCTTGGGAGGGGTTATGCAAATATTAAAATGCATTGATGGGTAGATGTCAGTCTTGAGGAGTGGACATTCCTAGGCAGACTGTATTTGCATGCATAACAATAGGTGCTGAAGTGGCCAGCGAAAGCAGTAAGCTCACCAGCACACCGAGGTCCACACTATCGATCCGTCCTTTTATTGACGCTCAGATAAGCGTAGTGTTACAGAATATAGCAGCGTTTCAGAACCCAATGTGATCTCTTCATCAGGTACAACAATGTAACCCATGTGATTCAATGTGTCAGATTGTTTTGCCAGATGAAGGGGCCACACTGGGTTCCGAAACGTTGCTATATTCTGTGACACCATGCTTATCTGAACGTCAACAGATGGATCGATAATGTGGACCTCGGTGTGCTGGCGACCTTACTGCTTTCTCTGTATTTGCATGCAGACCACTCTAGGTAACTCCCAAATGTGATGCTGAGCCTCCATGATTGAAAGAACTGAAATCCAATGAATGAAAGGGACTGTCAGGCTGGGGAGAAAAAGGCCTATATGATTTTGGACATCCTCCAAGCAGATAATTAAGCAGGCTTCCTTACTTTCTTCTTGTTGCTGCAGATTCTAATGCACGTTGTGAGAAGCTCACAGTGCGCGGTGAATTCAGAGGAAGCAATATCAGTCCAGGAGAGGAGCCGGTACAACTGTGCAAGACTGAAGAGAAGGCTGGAAGTTCAGCTTTGAATAACTGAAGGGAGATTCCATGGGATGTTTTTTAATTGCATGTCCTGCTTTATGGCACAATTGTTGCTTTTCTGCAAAATTAGAGTAAATGCCAAATGATGTTTCAGCTGCTCCACCTGGTGGCCAAACCTTATACTGCACCTCATTTTGGCTACAAGGCAGTTTTAACATTTATCTCCTGAGTCTAGTGTGTTAATTGCAGTTAAACATTAAAAAAAAATACCCTTTACATTGAAAGTGCAATAGGGTACACTTATACTATTCATATTGATGGACATTTACTATTTATTATTGATGAATGTTATAGGGGGCATGGGGGTGATTTTTAAATGGGGTTTTGAATATGCCTTCTATATTTTTTTTGCATTTGGTAAATGGGCAGACGTAGCACAGAGTTTCTTCTATATGGTATAATATTTGACATGTGAACAGTAATTTGGTCAATTTTAGTCTTTAAAGAGGAACTTTACCCACCAGTTTAACGCGACACAAAACTCAGAAGTTAACCCTTAAAAATGCATTCAAGTACCTTTAACCATTTCCGGGCCGGCCGTAGTAAAATAAGTAGTCACCGTTCCAAAGTCCATTTGGAACGATATGTCCATCTAGGACTGCCCACAGGGTGACAACACCGCTCTGTGAATTCACTGCAAAACAGTGATGTCACCCTGTCAAAGGAAGTGACAAAATAAGAGTTCTATTGGCAAGATCAACAGGTAATAAAACTATGTTACAGGGGAGCCAAAAGAAATCTCACCGCTCCAATTCCTTAGCCGCCATCAGGACTCCCCATGTGCTGGTCCAATAGGTGCGTCTCCACCTTGGAATGTAGTGGTATTCAAACAGACCGCACTATCCAGAGAATTCCAGTACTTTAGACTTTATTGAAATTCACAGCAAATCCGGTGTAACAGTGCATGTGACAGCAAATACCAGCACCGCAAACCCCCAACCGGCTACAACAGCTGGTATTTGCTGTCACATGCACTGTTACGCCGGATTTGCTGTGAATTTCCATAAAGCCTGAAGTACTGGAATTCTCTGGATAGTGCGGTCTGTTTGTATACTGCTATGTTACGGGGGACTCAGAAAAACAAAACCTGCCGTGTTAGTGCTACTGACAGCATCGTAGATGTCATTTATCACCTTGCCTGGAGTTCTACTTTAAAGCGTGTATGTAAACTATAACAAAGAACTTCTCTTATTTGCTCCTTCAATAATCATTCCATGGCCAATTAAAGGAGATCTGTATTCCTTAGAAAAAGAATAATCAAACATGTAAGTCATGAAAGATCACATGCCAGATATTGTAACAGCAGACTTGTTATGTGGGAGAACCCTCCGTCCAGAAGGAACTGACTTGGGAGTTTATTCTGACAGATGCACTAATAGCCGGAACTGGAGCATGCTTCTTCGGAGGCACAAGAGATATGACCTATTTAGATCCTAATCTTGATGGTTTCAGGGGCTCAGACTGCCATCTAGGGGCCGGATGACACACGGTTATAATTGGCTCATTTATCAACCTCTGCACAACGGGAATACAATCTGATCTGTTCTGCTTTTATCATAAAGAACTTTTTTTTTTTCTTTAAAGCTAAACTCCAGGATCCTTTACGTTCCTCCTACACACTTCTCTTACCCCAACCTCAAGAAAGACAAGCATTTGTTTTTTTTTTCTTCTCTCGGGTCTTTACTTTATGTAAAAAAGGTTTAATGTGCCTTGACGTCATCATTTTTAGTATCACAGTATAGGTACAGGACAGTCAGGCTGGGGAGGAAAAGGACTAGATGATGCCAAAATGCCTTGATGGGCAGATGTTAGTCTGGAGGAGTGAGTGTTCCTAAGCAGACTGCATTTGCATGCCTACTGCCCTGGGTAATGCTCACATGTGATTCTGAGCCTCCGTGGTTTAGGGCTGGTTCACATCTATTACAGTACGTTCCAGCACGATTAGCTGCTGGAACACACTGGATCGCACCCTGGCCAGCACCCTGCGGAGGGAGGGGGCAGTGCATTCAAGTCAATGGCACCACAGCCACCGCCCCACCCGCAGTGCGATCACTCACACCAGAACGCGTGGCACATCAATGCCTGCGTTCTGGTCCAGTGCGATCGAAAAAATAGGGCTTGTACGCCCCAGAACGCAGGGAGCCAGCCAGGATGCAATCCAGCGCATTCCAGCAGATAATTGCGCTGGAACGCACTGGAATAGGTGTGAACCGGCCCTTGAAGGACAGAAATCCACTGAATGGGGCAAGTCAGGCTGGTGGGGAAAGAGCTAGATAATGCTTGAAGTCCTCAAGCCAAGGTATGAGTTGGGCTCTGTTTAAATGGCTGCAGCTTCTAATGTACATTGTGAGAAGCTCGCAGTGTGCAGTGAAATCAGAGTAAGTGATTTCAGTCCAGGAGAGGAGCCGGTACACCTGTGCAAGACTGAAGGATAGCCTGGAGTTCAGCTTTTCAAATATATCTGTTAGGCCACTTTCTATAGTTTCATATAGGTCCTTCTCTCTACAATGGCACCAAGCCTAGCAATCTCAAGTCCTAGGCTGTCCCAAGGCTATGGGCACTACTTAAAACATCACCAAGACACAAATTCTGCATCCCCATGCTGTTTTCTCCAAAGCAGCAAGCAGGTGGGAGGACATGAAGGTGAGAAGGCAAATCTCATCATCCCCTCCAGGGACTAAGCTCTCACCTTCGTTTTAATGGTAGCGGCGGCCATGACTGAATTGGGCACACAGTTTCTCTTTTCTGCAGCCTTCTGCTTATTCCTGCTTACAGCTTTCCATCTGAAGTGCAGCTTGTCACGGGATAGAACCACTAAACTAATATACAATTATATTACACAGCACCCCTGACATGCAACTGCATCACTTCAGTCACTCACCAATGTTACCCTGGCGAGTATAATCGGAAAGCCAAACGCTGATACTACAACTCCGGTGGTGAAAAAGTAAGCCAGCTCACGGCAGGCACTGCTGGCTGCGTCGCTGTCATCGCTGACTCGTGTGGCGATAAAGTGCGGAATGGGACTTATGACGTAGAATATCAAAACAAACAGAGGCCAGTAACATCTGTGACGAAAAAAGAGAAACAACATTAGCCTGTCTCCTTGCGATCCATCCCCTGTACCAATATCAAGTCATAGGCACCCAATATGTACATGACAAATAAGCAAAATGACAACATTCAGCATATTAATACAGGAATTATTTCCTATACCGCACCCCCCAATGCGAACCGCTACACCAACGTGAGAATGAAGAGTGGCCACTCATTTCTTTTAAAGCTGAGCTCCTTTAAACATAAATACATATATAAATATATTTCATCAGCTTCTCTGGGGGTCCCTAGGTGATAATAGGGGTCTTGGAGACCCCTGATGTCTTCATAAAGAGGACCTGCCATGTAAATTGGCTATCACATAGGGGGCTTATTAGCCCCCCCATGTGATAGCAATAAAGTTGTGTAAAAAAAAAAAAAGTAATACAAAAATTAAAGAATCATTAAAAAAAATTAAAAAAATGTTTAAAGTCCTCTGCCCACCACATACACATGCAGATATGCGTCGGGTGCGCCTACGTGCGAAAACAACGATTGCGCCTATTGTGCCGCACATGTTACATATAACCGCGAACGTCAGAGTGTGAGCAATAATTTTAGGGCCATTAATTACTGAAAACACTAAACTGATGAGCGGTAAAAGCAGTTCAAGCGTCGCCTATGGCTAATTTTCAGTGTGGTCGTTTTTTGGCGGGCGCACGCAATTTTAAGGCTTGGCATGTTTGGTGTCTATTTACCCGACGTGACCCCGTCTTTTATGTTTTACCAAAAATATGGGTAAGAATAGATGTTTTATAACATAACGTAGGGAAACTTTGGGGTTTTTTTTTTTTTATTTACTGTACTTTTTTCATTATATAGTACAAAAAAACACCCCCGCCCCCTCCCCCCCCATGGTGATTTTATATAC